TACATGCAAAACAAAGCTTTCTAGTTCCCCTGGTTTTAAAAAAGACCATCAAAGGGTAACATCTTGTCATTGATTAGGTGAACATTTAAAAATAACCAGAGATAAAAGAAGTTACCAAATCATTGATCTTCTCAAGAACCTGGTTCATTTAAAGCTTTAGATTACAGGCACATATGAAGACAGGAAACACAGCACAAGTACTGTAGGTGGTGAAGGTGGATACATATCTCGGAAGGTAACAGTTTTCCCTTTTTTAAACAGCCTTTTTTGTCTTTCAAGAAAATGACTATCACTGAAAATACACACACGCAGGTGCACATATTTCAAGAAACAACAGTCTTATGTTTCACATCAATAGATCATTCAGCATACACACATAATGGTTTTATTTCTATTTTAAATTATGTCCTTGGAATAGCAAAATACTGAGTTCATGCAAGGTGCTAAATGTTAGATCTTAATAAACTTTAGACTTTAATACGGTTTATAAAGGGAAACTGCAATGCTATGTTTATATTTGAGGTTAGAAAGAACCAGCATTGATGAGTGCATTTCAAACCACAAAATGTACACAGTAAGTTGTAATTTACATTACAAAATATACAAAATTTCCAGGAATTTACAGCACCATGTTCTGCGATGATTCAGAATGAGGCAACAAAAAATCCAGTAAAGTGAAAAGTCCCTATAACTTTGTAAACAAGCAGGCTTGTGAATACATCAGTTTTAATCCACTAGAAATACTGCTCTTGACTTCGAGACGGTTTCCCCAACAAATACTGCTTAGTTGTTAACTCTGCATGTAGATAATGTTGGAACATTTCTGAGGTGAAACATCTGCTGCACAGCCTGTACTTATTTTCTCACATTACATCAGTCAGTACAGTGACTAGCGAGCAGGAAGGGCCGCATCACATTAAAATTCTCGCAGATTCTCGCCTGGGGTTTGCAACAACATGGCGGCTATCCAGCAAAAGTTTAACATTTTGTGATTAATTCAGAATTTGTTACATTTTGCTTAACCATGAATTAATTTTGTTCCCAAGATTTGATCATCCGTCTCAGACATTGGGACTGCAGTTCCCCTTTAAAGTTGAGTGGATTAAGAATTTGTATTAACTTCCATTCATAAACATATGATTTTAACTAATGCAAGGACAGTGAAAGATACAACCACATCCTACCTGACTACTGAAGATGGACTTGGTGCTGCTGGCTTGGTTAAATGAGTGGTTTATTTGCCAGTGATCCAGGTGGGAGGCTATGTGAAAGGACATATCAGGGTGAGGGTTATGGCGAGTTCTGCTGACTGTCGCAGTGTTCCGGCTACTGAACTCAGCACTTCTGGTGCAGGTTGAGGGTGACCTCAGTTTTCCAACGATTCATTGCGACTCACATTGATTTGAAAACTCTGAGACTTGTGCAAGCCAATCCTAAAGCAGAACAATGCTAAACCACGCAGCGCCAAGATTAGGATGTTACTAATGTCAGGAAAAAAATGCCAGTCTTTCACTGAGGCCAACCTTTCCTCTTACGTCAGTTCAACAGAAGATCAGCCTGTGCATCAACACTGCCAAAACTGTGTGTGAATTATAGCCCCATGGAGGCTGTAACCGATACCAAATTTGTAATGCTTTCAATTACGACAGTGTGTTAAACTGACAACTTACCAAGATACTTTGATCAGTGTTTTTGTTGTCAATTTCCGTGATGGTATGTGACATTTATTATAAGAATGTTTAATAAAAATTCATTGTTGTGTTTCTTTTGTGCATCAGTGTGTTTTAAGCAGTTTCCTTTTGATTTAAATCAAGGATTTTTATTAGTGTTCACTATACCATAGAAAATCCTGTTTGCCTGTCTACACATTCACCAAAAATCCTCTCTTCCTCTGAAAAAGCAAGTAATTCCGTTTATAAACCAATACATTATTAATTCTGTGCCTTATAGAGTTATCAAATATAATACTTTTTTTTGTAAAGATAATGTTCAAATTGAAAAATTAGCAAAAATAAATAAAATTGTAATATTCTTATCTGCATACAAGTAAAAAGAGGAGTAACACTTTTTTCTCCACAATGCAGAGGTGCCTAAATCTGTTCCTGGACAGCCACAACAAAGTACAGTAGGGCTTTTCGGTCCTTTAGTCAGGCTCAGTGACCACTGTAGCAGGCAATTTGTTCAGTTATGCAGCTTAGAGATACTTTTAAATTAAAATACCAACACCTTGTAGCTCGCAAGGACCACAGTTACCTGTACTGGAATTAAATGAACTGATTAACTGACTAAACTGATCAAACGTGTTTATAGATCTTTACAAATAGATGATTTAAAGGGAAACTATAAACCCTGCAGGACTGAGGATCTCCAGGCTCAGGGACGGCCATCTCTGCCGTTTAGGGCAACAGTGTCATATTACACAGGACATAAATGTTAAATATATATCCTGACACAATGCAGTAGGTTTGCACAAAGAAAGGTTAATACAACATTAATGAAAAACACAAGATGTGTTTTAGCAACAATTCCCACAAAAACAATGTGTTTGTTAAAGCAAAGCAAGAAATACTCTTAAGGATTATCAGAACACATACTTAACCACCTACTGTAAGTGCCCGAAAAATATACTGGTTAATATTATTAAAAAAATAAAGTAATTCATGTTATCCTTCAGGATTCCCCTTTAAAATTCAATGAGCTCTTTCAAGAAATGCCAAGGCTTAAAGAGAAAGGATACCTTTTAAAACCTGCCTTTTCTCCCCCATCACATTTATACACAATGCAAATAGTCTGTCTTCCAGCACGACTGCTGACATTCAAACCACTGAAACTTTCCAAAGCTCAACATCAAGAGAGCAAGTGAGCTGGCACAGTACACTACAGGGAAACAGCACCAACAACAGAACAGTGGAGCAGCACTTTGTGAAGGACGACAGGCCTTGTGGGACTACAAGTGCTACGAGTAAGACAACATTTTCACTAAAATTCCACTAAAAAACTGAGTATTGAGTAAGAATGGAATTCAGGGTCACTGGTTATTTTTTATGTGCTTCAAAAACACACATAGGGATTTTGTCTTAGCGTCTACTTAAAGTTCCAGGAGTAAGGGATCTCTCTTGTCTAGACATTTTTAATGTACAGGCATACAGTCATTTTGTATCACTGATTTCCTGCCAAAACAGATAAGACTGGCAATTCGGCAACCAATAAATTGTCAGCCCCACAGCCCTCCCCAGACAAGCTCTCTTAAACTTTCAACAAAACACTTGTTTCATGAGAATAATGCATTCAGTCATTACAAGAGACCTGTTCTGCTCTGCAAAAGCATTTCCATTCATTGAGAAAGGCTGTCAGGGAATAACATCAATGTAACTTCTCCCTTTTTAATTTCTTTGCCCTTTTCCCCTTTTTTGTTTCATTAAGCTATTTTTAGATGACGTTTGAAGAGCTAGACAATTTCTTTGCTCAGTTCAACTTCTGAAGAGAAATGATTCCAACACCCTGATTCACAGAAAAAAAAACAGATACTGCATATTATGACTATCTGACCAGGGGCAGATTCTGAAGGCTATTCGTTTTGTTTTTCAATAAAATCTGCAAAAACAGTTGATGCATGGGGTTCTCTTTATCAGCATTAAAACTGCACTGCTGACGGATGAAAGAAAAAAAGCTTTGTAATGACGAATGATCACATCGGGAAGGAAAAATATGATTCAGCACAGACATAGAAGTGGTGGCCGTCTGAGTAGCATCCCATGAGTGGTAAAATTTGTCAGTGGGGCTGCCACAGTCGGTTGCTTCTCAGAAGAAGGTGCATTAGGAGTACAAACATCACGTTTCAAAGGTATGAAACAGATAAAAACACGTACACACTTGGACACGTACTGTAAAATGCACACTCTATACCCCTTCCATATCTTAATGCTCTCTGGACATGCATGTCAGTGTGCCTCCCGTCTCAGGACCGCCACGACGCCGGTGAACTTCCTGAAAGCTTGTTTTCTCCACTGACACCCACGCCGCCCCCCTCTACATGATGGAGCAGGTGAAGCCACAGCACTCCTTCAGCAGGGTCAGCCCCGTCTTGGCCACGAACGGTGTCGAGGTTTGCTGGGCCCTGGAAGTCATCTTCTTACCCGATTCGGGATCTGTGGAAAAGGGCGTCTTTCTCAGGGACAAGAGCACAGCCAGTTGGAGCAGGACACAGGATTGTGTGGCAAGAAGGAAAGGGGAAGGGCAGAAACAATCCAGAATTTCCAGGAATTCCCAGAATTTGTTCTCTTGTGCACAGTACCACTCACAGTGGCGTTTTTTATCTTTCTTTTTAGAAAGAAAAAGATTTAAGTGAATTAGTTGAAGTTATTTTTTTCTTCTTTCTTTCTTGCTAACACCTGTGTTTTTCAGCCATAGCCTAGGTCCAAATCTGGAAAAATTATTTTTCCTCCCATTTGGGAGTGGAGAGACTGGGGTTATCCCATCAGTCTCCATCATTTGTATAGCCTTTGAGCAAGCACAGAACACTTCGTTTTTATTATTTTCTCTAAGACAGCATACCATTTACTGTAGCTTTTTCAGAATATGCTCAATATTCATTTGAGCTCATTCTCAGCAGGGGCTTCGATTGTGAAAAGGGGTTGCTTGTGAGAAACAAAAAATAAACCAGTCTTTGGCGCTACAAAAACAGAAAATCCAAATGAAATACTTGCTATAATAACTAAACAAAGTACTGTCGAATTGTGAAATGATCCCCAGACAACAACTCTGCAGAAGAGACATGCATCTAAGAAGTTAAAAAAGTATTAAAATCCATTAATAAAATAGAATTAACAGAAAAAGTCTTAGTGGCTGCTGAATACTTACTAGTTTTCTTCAATCCACTTTTAGGAAATTTAGACTGCAAGAAGTCTGCCATTTCTTTGTCTTCCTCTCTTTCTCTATATTAAAGAAAACAAGCACTGGTAAGAGTTCAGAACTGATAAAAAACATTATTAAGCTCTTTTCAGTTACCTACAGATCTGGAGACATGCTGTGTCATTAAGCTGAATTCAATAGACAGTTTTATCCATGATCATATTTTGTTCACAGTTATGACTCTAAACACTGAAAGCCTGTTTTTCTTTAGTTTTTATTTGCTGTTGTCATTTTTTCTAACTCTACCCCCATGTCAATATTTTGGAATGAAATATTAATGAGCAGATGTCTTCAACAGTTCTATTTTTTCCAAGCCATAGAACACCCTGTCAGTATCCCAGCCTATCCATATTTTAAACAGAATGGGAATGGATTGTAAAAAGAAAGAAATCCTGGTTCAAAAAGCAACATTGTCGCTCCCAATATAGTTAATCCACTTTTCTCCTATGTGATTCATTGATTCATTTGCATTTACCATAATATTATCCCAGGTTCATGTACAGGAAAAGCAACAGAGGCACTGCTCAAAATACCACAAACTGCCTCCATGGTTTATTTAATTGGATGTCTGCAATTGCAGAAAAGAAGCTGTGAAATCCTATTAATTTAATAATTCTGTTTTTTTTTGTTTTAGCCAAGAAAATATCCAAAACCTCACTGGCTTTACAACCATATCAGGCTGATGCTGTTCATAACAACCCAGTGAAGTTGACCAAAGGACTGAAATCGTGATCTAGAAATCTCTTTCTAGTTCTGCACAGCAATGAAAAATGCATTCTGAAACACGAAGAGGACCAGAAAACGAATTAATGTGGCTGATATATACAGTACCACATGTACATTAAAATTAATAAGCTATTATTTGCGGTCCTGCAGAATGTGACACTAAAGATCTTGGCCAGCTTAATCTTAATCAAACCTTAATCTTTCAAACTCAACGTCATCCACGAGAAAGTCTCTGGTTTCCACCAGTTTATGGATTTGCTGGAGAAGCTCCTCTTCTTTCTGTTTGTCCTCCTTTGACTTGTCTTTATCTGGAAACAACAACCGACAGAATAGTCTGTGAATGCTAAGGTGCTAAAAAACAATTCAGGGATCAGTGATACAGGAAAAAGTAAGCACATAAATTCCTTCTGAGCCTTCTACTCCATACAATAATTTAAAAATGGTATATGACAGCCTAACAGTATAAAGGAGACACAACAATACAGAATATTTCTGTTAATGTATTAAATAAATTTAGTAATAGGTATAAATAGTTATACAATATAAAGAGAAACCAGAGTACGCTATGTTAATAAGTGTAATTATTACCATGCCATGGGCTTAATACAATCAAGAAGCAGAAACTGCTTTGGTTTTGGAAAGGTTGCATTTCACATGGAGCTCTGCTTGAAGTGTGTCCCATCTCTTTTACTGTCTTTTCTACAGCTAGCACGTTCCAATGTTGTGAAGGGCCCTTATGTTACATCTGACTGGTTTGCACATCACAATGATGGAAAAACATAATTTTTCCTGAATATCTGAATATCAGATGCACTGAATATCAGATGCTTCGCCTTTACGATCTATTTTGTTTTGTACAGTAGATTTAACGTATGTTCTGGATTTTTCAGTTCAGCCTCTCGTAATGTGCAGATCTCCACTTTTGTTTTTGACCTAAAAAAAGACACTTGTTTCTTGACTGCACGCAAGCTCTACTGCCTGGTGCTTGCTGTGTCATGAGACAGCCTAATTAAGGGCTGTAACTGAGTCTTGAGCTTGCAGGCAGTCGTGCTCTCTGAGCTACGTTTTGGGCTTCCCGGAGAAAATCGGCAGGGAATTTCCATGTTTCATGAGACAAGTCAACAATTCAGCTCAGATACGCTGTCTCCAGAGGCCAGCTGTATGTGTTGGTGGCGTTTTCACAGAAACTTTGTCAAGCTTACCTGTAGGAGTTGTGTACTCAGACAACCTTTTACTGAAAATGAAGTGTTGTTTATTTTAATCCCTCAATTCTCTCCAACAATTACATAGTTCTGTGTGTTGTGTGATCTTGTCTTTCAGCTCTCTATAAAAACACACTCCACTGTACTTAGTGTGTGCTGAGTGGTGTCAATGTTGATATTGTGGATCATTATGGATCAGGGGTGAATAAATCCCTGAAAACAATTCCATGGATTCACAAGAGCAGAATAAATTTCACAATTTTAATTTCCATATATGACAGAGATTAACACGAGCAAATTGCTTTGAAGTTGCTATGTTGGAAAGAAAATTAAAGACGTACAAATCAAGGACACTTTCAATGGTGTTTCAGTCTAGATAAAATGACTACCCCAAGAGATATTTCACAGTGTAAAATAATTTCAAGCTCAAAACCAGAATAATGCAGCAAGGTCATTCACAAAGGCTGTAGAATCTAATTTACCTGGTATTGAAACTATTTTCTGCAGTTCCTTCTTAAGTCGTGTTATTTCCTTACACAGCTGAATATCATCCATCCTACAAAAGAATGAGAGTTTAGTAATTATTTAATTAATACTTACTGTAGTTTCAGTTATGGCATAGTTTCAAATAGAGCCATTCACTGAGAATGCATACATTAATATATAAGGACATCTTATCTCCCCTTCACAAAATTATGTTTAAAAAAATGTATTAAATAAATATATTTATTTCCAAACATTCACAGCAGTTCTTGATGTTGCTTAGTGGTGGCTGAGAAGTTATCAATCAATGACAGAATCAATTTTTGTATTTTAGGCAACATTCTTCACACAGAAAGAATCACAAAAGCTATTGGAAGGCTTTCACACCAGAGAAAAATACAATAAGAGCAAGAGGGTCAATAGTATTAATCTATGCATGTGGTTTCAAAGCCTAGTTCTAAGGGAACCACTGTGTCTACTTTTATTCCCAGCTGGGCTCTTAATCATCAGTGTTAACTGATGCGTGGAATTCATCTGCATGCTTGTTTAGATGTTTTTCTGCACTCTGCCTTTGGTTTAAAAAAAAAACCCTGATTAAATTATATTATTTAACACTATGCCGTCAACTTGCCAGTTAAGAATTTGTTCCATTGTTTCTCAACAAGGTGACCCATTCATGAGGTTTAGACACAGGCGGAAATGAAGAGAGCCACTCTCACAATGGTCGTTTGTTTTTCCTCTTCAGCTAGACTCCTGCCATTTGAATTTCATCAAACCCCGTCCCAGTGACAGGAATTCTGAAATTCGGGAATCTACGCAGGGTCAGCACCAACTGCAAAACTCCAGATGCGAGTTTTCAGGCTGGGAACCGAAGGAGAATGTAAAAACCCACGTACAATTAAATTGCGCGAGATTAAGAACCACATTGGAGAAAACAAAGGCCGAAGAAAAAGTGATTCCTCGGGACCAAGGGTGAGAACCTCTGATTTGTGGAATATTAACAGTAAACTAATCTATACTGTCTCAGTTTAGGAAACAACCGGTTTCAATTCCAGCTTTTGATAAAGAGCTCTCACAGTACAAAATATGCACACAGATAAGGACAGCAATTCTCTGGGCTGCTGTAATGGCTGATCTTGAATGTAGAATTTTATATAGAGTATAACGTATAGTTTGAGAGCAAAACCAAGGACACTGGAAAAAGCATTGCGAAGAAATGGGAAGCACATCTCCAGCTGTAAGGAGTGGTGAGCACAGAGACTTGCGTTTGAATGATCTCAGGACACAAATCATCCCTTAGGAGGAAACCCATGTGTCTGGGTTGTTGATGGACATGAAGTAGCATCGTAAACAATCATAAACAGTCTGCCAAGGGCGTCAGAAGACAACCTCACCTGTCTGCCACGAAGAGGCCAAGAAAACCTCATCGAGATGAATAGACGGAGCCCAGACATAATTCTGGCTTCAAAACACTCTCTCATGTTCTGTGTTTCCATACTCCAGCAGCCTCAGAAAGCTATTTCATGGCAAACATGTCAGACAAAATCACACATCACAGGCAGGCAAAGTCCAGCTCAGTACAGCACAAACTGGTGATTTTGTTTGTTTTTTTAAAAAGAAAAACTGTTTTCACTCTCACCTTGCAGAGAAATTCCTTAAAGACTTTAAAAAAACGTTCCTTTGTTAACACAGAGGAAAAAAAAGACCCTTTGTGGATTTTTTGAAAGGTTTTGATTTGTGCTTTTCTTTTTCTTTGAAGTAAACAAACGTATGACTCTAATCTGTCAACAACCCTACCAATGCATAGTTGTCAAGAGACACCAATCCCGTGCTTACAGTCTGAAAGCAGTCTGTCGGCCAGATCTCCAGAGATGATTCTTTTTGTTCTCGTGTAATAATAAATGCTCTGAATACAACCCTGCTCTCACTCCACACACACGCCCAGCATTCCACTGTGTGAATGGAAAAACTACCTCTAGCAGTGAGGCGTAATGCTGTGCTGCCTTAAAAAAATCAAGATTTTTTTCCCCAGCATTTCTATCTGAAAAGTTCTACTTTCTAATAATGCACATTCCTCACACTGCATATCATATCGGGGGGCTTAATGAGGGGAATACAGCAGGCTGGGAGCGGTGAGCCGTAGGAGCAAAGATGAGTACAGCTGACTGGCTGGTACTGTACTCGCAATCTCTTGGATTCCACTTGCGGTAGAGTCTTACAGCGGTAGCAGAGCGGAGAGTGGGGGGAGGGTGTGAGTCTACATTCGTGCAGAAGGCTTGTCTTTCACTGTCTGCCAATCTCCCTCTCGCGATCACCAAGGTGAGAGACTCAGTTTAGCTGCGTCCTCTGTGCTCTATTGATTAAGCCAGGCTGTCACTCAAAGTGGACAGACTTAAAGGTGTGAAAAAACTTCCTCTATTATGTGAAAGGCACGGCGACTGCACATCAGAATATTTAGTGGGCTGAGTGACAAACACGCAGTTCTGTGTAGGCCCGTGTCAGTGAAATGGAGCCGGTGCACACATCTGACCCGCTGTTAATGGAGGGACAGGCGAAAGCGAAAATGGAAACACACACAACAAATTCTTCCCCAAATAAGTGGCTAAGAATAACTCCATAAAACAAAACACAAACAAAAAATGAAAACACCCCTTGTGCTGTAACCACTGATAGAATTCTTGTAGCAATGAAGCACTGAGCTAGATTTCAGGAGCTCAGCAGGGCTGCTATGAGTGGTGCTGGCAGACAAGCCGGAAACGGTCCTGCCTATGGACAAGGGGGAAACAGTTCCAAAACAATGTCCCAGATTGGTGACTGGGGCCTGTCTAGAGAGATATTAAACTAGATCCCGATTGCTTGGTCATTAAAGATCATAGGGCACTTTCTGGCACAGAAGGGTTTTAACCCTGGTGACCTGCCTAAATACCACCCTGGGCTACTACAATCTGGCCTCTCTAAAACGTCCCCTTAATGCAGCTGGTGAAGCTCTCATCTCTTGGGCTTCACTGCACCAGTGGATGAAGCAGGTCCCCTACTACTGTATGTGTAAACAAGAACCATCACGCAAAAAATCATTATTACGAAATCTGACTTTTACAAAAGTGAATAGTACCTTGATCAGCTATGCATCATTTCCCTCTAGGAGATCTTCACAATCTGACAACTGTTGTTTTATTTCAATGAAGTAAAACATTTTAATCCAGTAATCGGCCGTTCGTGTAGAATGAAGAACAGATGACTGTGGTTCCTGAGGAATGAATCCCTGAACCTTTAGCTCTGAGATTTCATCTGCAGTCTCAAATACATAGCTACCCTGTGCATTAGCTTGCCTGCAATTGCCCAATTATTTCAACAATTTTCTCTGTCCCTGTTGAACCATCACTCTCTCTTACATACGCATGCATATCGTGGCCAACGGCTATTCTCCGCAAACCAGAACACATTTCATTTGGAAAAAAAGAAAGAACCACATACAGCTGTCTGAGAGAGAAAAAATGAGAGAACTGGCTTGGCCCCATGTTGATAATGGATTAAAAACCCAACAGACAGCTACATGAAGGGAGACTACAACTAATCTCTCCTCAACAGCCCTGGAGGTTATTTCCTTATTAAAAATGCGCTTGATATTTGGGCTGACAATTATTTAATATTATTTTAAACTGCACCACAGCAGGGACAGCTGTTTGCAGCCTCAATGAAGCTCAGACAGTCGGAAGGAAAATGAGCAGCAAAAGCGGTTTTATTTCACCATTCAACAGAATTCAGATCAGGTGCTGTATAAAAGCCTTCAGCTGGACAGAAGCACTACAGCAAGAGTAAGAGCTCATTTTAGTCTCTTTATGGATTACTGTATGAAGGCTTTCTACACAATCTGCTCCTTTTATGTCACTGAATTTGAAATTGTCTACTCTTAATCAACTGGGTTCACTGGTACAACCCTCGTACTCACACAGGGGAAAGAAGGGTTCTTTGTGTCCATCACATACTACTATCCCATCCACATATTCTCAGGGAGCTCCATAGCCCCAACAGCAGAGGAAAGGGATGAGGTGGAGGGCAGCGGCAGCCCTCCGTGATTTCACAGCAAGCTCTCAGGTCCCAGGCAGACTCCTGAGCTTGTTTGACACCAAAGGATATGGTGGCCAGCTCAAATGTGGCCACCTCATCTGGCGCCATACCAATTCCATTTGGTGTATTTAAGTCACTGACATTTAAGACCATTTCCAATGTTTAAACAAGACTTCACTGCAGCATGAAGAGAATGGGGTGGAAGTGGGATGCAGCACGATACAGTATATGTGAGAAGAAGATTATTTATAATATTTATAATGTTTTAGGTGAGGAAACGACTAGTGATGACAAAGTACTGAGAGCTGAGTCTGATTGGACTTGGCTGTTGTCAGCCCTCTTAAACTTTTATTATAAACTTCATTATGGGGCTCAATAGCATCCAAAACAGGCTCAACTCCTCCAAAGAAAATGAAAATTTTCATTTTCTGGATTATTACAGTTGTTTGTAATACGTTTTTAGACACTTTTTAAACAGCTTTTAGAAAGAGGGATGAACACAGTGAAACTATACAAACCAATTTTATCATTCTGTAAAACCATCTTTGCTAAATCAAGTGGAAAATAATTGTGTATTTACCCCATTTATTTATAGCAACAAATCTTATTTTCTTCATATGTTCTTGCGTCAAGCTAAAAAAAAACAGAAGTGACTAATACAATCCAGTAATCTACTCTTGTAATCATCTATTTTTATGTGTCATATTTCACCCTCCTTCTGGAGTGTTAGGAACCTTGAAATAACCAGTAAAGAACATTGAAGGAATTGACAGCAGGTCAAAATGTTAAAAGTGAAAAGTAATAAAATGACCTGAAAGTAAAGCAAAGATAAACGGAGTCATTTTCAAGGGTCAGAACAATTTTCCTTATACTCTGTTTTTGATGGCAAACTTTCCTAAGTTGCCAGGACAAACTGACGTTTAACCAAACATATCAAGAGTTTTAGCTAAGATTTCTTGAAAACAAAGTATGCCTTGCAATTGAACACATAATATTGCTTGTGACGAAGACAAAACATAAATCAAGGCTCATCAGATTACATCAGAAATCAAAGGAGAACTTTCTGCACGTTGATTTAAGAAAAATCTCATCACAAGATCTGATGGCTTGGAAGAGAGCAACACATTCAGCCCAACACTTTTCTGCAAAGGGTTACAAACTTCATTTTATGAATGAAATTCCACCCTGTTGTGTGTTCTATTTACTTCCTGAGTACAGGTAAGTGTGTTATATAAAGAACACCGTGTAACTGTCATCGAAGAAGAGTGTCATTCAGTTTTTTTCTTAAATAAAAGCATAGTGTACTAATCTGGCTTTTGAAAAGGAGTACTGTAGGTCAGCTCTTTTCTGACTATCTGATAACGTTCAATCTGCTGTGAACTGTTCAATGACTTTTTTGAAAAATAAATGACTAGCAGAAGAACTTCTGATGGTAGCAGGAGGTCACACATCCAAATTTGAATGCAGGGCAGCTGGTGACACTGTCTGTAGGTGATCCCAGTTAATGCGCCTCTTCAGTTCTGACAACAAAAACAGAGGTGATATCTGACCTCGCTAAAAAAGGTTGTCAAAATGCTACCAGTTCTATTAGAGAATTGCTAATAATAGAAGTAGAAATAATTACAACAGCTCACTTCTGGAAAGGAGGAGTTCCGGAATGTTCCTTATAAAGCCTGTTTCCGTTGAATATGCATGCATGTACAGTATAGTAAAAGTTTCCTAAATTCAAACAAGTCATGTCACTTTTCAAATCAAATAAAAGCAGCACAAGGTGCACAAAACAGACGGATGGCTCAAAGTACCCGTTCAGAAAAGCCAGATAGTAGTCGTGGGGAATCAAACAGTTATTATTGAGTTTGACTAGTGAAAAAAGAATCTATTAAAAACAGGTTTGTCACAGGTAATGTTCTCAGTGCATGTATTTCCATGGAAACAAGTCTATGAACTTGAAAGCTACATGGATAATGAAAGAGCCAGCAAACTACTGAGATGTATGTAATATGTTTGTTTTGGATAAAATTGAATTTTTTGCAAAAGATTGCACCGTGTCCTTGAAAACGAAAGGCAAATAATTGTTTTGCCATGAATGACATCAGAAAGAACAACTTTTTCTTTCTGTGTATCTTGCAGATGCAGTGTCCGTGCTGACCTTGAGCCTTGTGCGCACAGCTCTTGGCCATAAGCATGTTGATAGTGGGACTCCCGCCGTCTCTTACACCCAGAGGAACGTGAGCTCTTGACAGCCCCCCAGAATCAGCACTTGGGGTCCCAGCACACAAAGCCTCAAGCATCTGCTCTATTTCAAACATTCATTCCATCACCCACGCCAGCAAGCAAGTCTGGGATCGGACTGTGTCATTTGAGGGTGCAGGAAATGTCAATTACAGGGAAGCTTTCTGTCTCCATCTCCTGCTTAATAATGTGGTGATGCAAAAGAAAATAAGCCTAAAAGTTTTCAGTTTCCAACTATAAAGTATTGGCCATGACTGACCCAATAAAAGCACAAATTAAAATTGCAGCGGCGCAGTTATCTGAGACGCTGAGCTGGCTCAGCCACGACTTTGTCTGCACTGCCAAACTTCCCCGCGTGCATCTCTTAAATTGCGTTTGAGTGACCTTTTGTGCGAGGGGAGTTATTGTAGCTAATTTGGGAAACGCCGAGGCCTCTCGTCACTGGGATGGGGGTTAGTGTTAGGATTCGGAACCGCAAGGGACCTTCCAGCAAATGCCTTCATTTCCGATGGGTCCAGCGAAACGCCAAGCTGCACAAAGGGCTACACATGTACATGTTCTTGGATAAAAGCATTTGCTCTGTTTTCTTAATGCTATTTATGCCAAATGCTAAAAACTTGCTTTGCTCTACAGCTCCAGACTACCAACATACATGATACAGTGTTTCAGTGCGTGCATCAGAGAAGCACAGTTCATGGGAAAATATTCTCTTTACGGCAGGGCCAGAAGCCTGCATTGCTGCAGTCCACTGATGCTTTTATGATTTAATAGCCGATGATAGGAAAATGTAAAGTTTCTAGAACTTGGTACTTTAATGATGAAAGGTGACCATAAGATAAAACTGTGTTACTTTTATCAGCAGAAATAAAGCTTCTGAAGCAGAAGGGCATGTGTTTGCCATGGGTAACAGAACATATTGCTCTCGCTTTTCCCCCAGTTCCATGACAACACGAACAAAATGCAGATTTTGAACCACCAATAAAAATTCAAATCAGCCGAATGCCGAAGGAGACTCACATGTATCTGAGCTCAGACTCTCTTCGCACCAGGACCTCGCGGATCCTCTCGATTTTGAAAAGCTCCCCTTCTATGTCATCTATCGTGATCGTGGAATCAGCCATTGACACTATGTCCTCTTCCACTGCAAGAACAAACACAAGACAGAGAAGGACCACTTGGTTAGTTGCGGGCTTTGTACACATTTGATCGGTTTTGGGAGAGAGGACAATAAAGTTCTTCTTTCAAATACTTAAAGTAATTGTTTTCGTTTAAAAACAGAAAACCCACCCAAACTTGAAATCTACATTTTACTTCCTAAGACAGACTTTTTTACCCATCAGCAAAGTCGCTTCTGTATTCTCTTTCTATCTACTTAGCACTATCATAGCATTTTTATTAAAATTATAGATGAAATTGTTTTTTTGAAGATCACAAAGGTGCCGTATACAACCTGCTGGAACAGACATTTGGTGTGACTGCAAACTATTTGCACCATGGAAGCTACCTGCACACTTACTTGTAAAAAAATACAAAACACCAAAAATAAAAAAGAATCTTTTGTATTAAGAAACGTATTTATTATTTTATTGGTATGCTTGTGTTTTGTTGGTTAAAACTCTTAAAAAAACATTTTTAAGAGCATAGCTCATCTGCTTCTAAATAAAAAACCCATAGTTAGCTTGTCCAGGTTGAAACAATAGGAAAGATGCATGCCATTTGTGAATTACGAGTGTAAAGGACTGACAGTGTTGCTTATTGTAAACTTCTATGGTTCCTTTTCTGAGGGATGAACAAGAATGGATGTCCAGCTTGGAAGACATCCATCCCAATATTTTGAAACGCATAACAAATGAAACAGCCACCACCAGGATGGTGGCAGTTATAAATTCAAAATTGCCAGTCGAACACTGTTCCGCTTCACACTGTTAAATACAAATTTCTTGGACGTTGGCAGCTGAGGAGAAATAAAATTGCATGTGTTTCCGTTGTGTCAAAGTACATTGTGCATAGGTCTCGAGCATTTTCTCTCACAAAAATTTTTCGCTTGGACAAGCCCTGCCAGCTACATATCTGGAGACAGCGTGACACCAGGGGGAGAGAACACTGTCACATTCTGAAGCTGGGATGGAGCCTCTCTATCTGCAGGGGATGTTAAGAAACATGGAAATTGCATGTCCCAGATGGATTCTAAAATGACTGACTTGCAGAGATATGTCATAGTAAATTGTGTAGGGTAGAGCTCTTTAGAAAACCCCTGCATGCAACACACAGTTATTTTTTAGTTAGCAGAGTGGTGATTAATTAGAATACAATGTTCACATTAACACCTCATTAAAGCATTCACTCAATATACCACATACTCATACGTCATCCCACGAATGACAAGTGAGCTGCTCAAGACAAAGTTTGACAGACCCTGACATTAACTTAGTCAAATTTTTAAAATAATCCACTTACTGTATCTTGAGGCACACGTACAAGACTATTTAAGTGGATCTGATTTGTCTGAGCAGCAGGTCTCATTCCGACCTAGTGAATTTCCAGCTGACTTGGTTTAAAGATGAGGTTAGTGTATAAAGCAGAAACTGGAATACTAAATCACACTGGGATTTTCTTCTTTTTCATCGGAAGTCACAAAATCCTTCTCCTTATTCCAGGGGCTGGATGGAGATCAGAGAACTACTGTATGCATTGTACAAACTGGGTTGTCAACCCCCCTGTCTACAAAATAGCTACAAAGCTATACTGTGACTCTGTTCACCATCCAGAAAAAGACTTCCAGCACGACCAAAGCTTACAGATTACAGAAATGAGATGCAATTGCCCACCACAGTCTGTGAAACTGCTTTCCTGAAAAAAATATGTAAAATCAAGCTTGAAAGTCAGCTATTATGTCCTTGTTCCATTGTACTCTTTCCTGTCCACATGTTTCTACAAAGGCCTTGGTATTAAGAAAATAAATGGAAGTTATTAACTGAGGATCGGGAGAGATAACAAGAACAAGTCAATCTCATCCAGCTGTTCTTAATCATAATCCGTATGGAAATAACTATATCTATATCTAATGCAAATACAGGACCTCTATTTTGCATTTCTCTCATGAATCTCTCGTCCACCCCATAGCCACCTTGCTGCTGCCCCTTGGTTAACACCTCTCTGAATGGGGTTCAAGCCTCCTCGGCCTACCCATTAACAAAGCAGGCAAAGCCAAAACCATAAGCTACTCAGACAAAGCGTCTGACTCTTGGATGTTGTTGTCCATAGAGAACTTGCATGTGCCTACAATAGAGGCCATAACTAGAAGTGAATCACCAACTGGGTTCTAAAATGTTTTAATCAAAGGAAACGTGATTCTTTAAAAAGTTGTTTATTGATAGTGACGTTAAATTTCAGGTGTCTCTAGTGTCTGGAAGAAGGGAAGACATATAAAATAAGACTTAAAATTTTTAAGCTTTGTAAATTTTATTTTCTGAGGACCAGCTCTCTGCTTACATTATCTCTGGATGGATGATGACCCGAACAAACTTTGGAAAAGTTTGGAATGCCCTTATTTTAATGACTAGTGAAAAACTATCATTGATAACACTGAAGGCTAGAGTGTCTCTCCCTACTGTTTGACATTGTATTACTGGTTTACATTAGAGGTGGACAGAAACAGGTTTCCTCTGTGAAGCTATGGTGACCATTTTCCAATATTCTATACTGACTCTGTCTCTTTCTCTTTTTGAGAGGAAATGACATTATCACTATGTCAGGCTCACTTCAGTATCCACTGCAGAAGAAAATAATTAGACACAGTAAGACAGCTTCTCTCACGATGTGCAGTGCAATTGAATGTACCTCAATGAAAAGGAGGCACAGAATCCATTAGCAAAAACTGCAGCTCCCAGAGAGCAAAATCATAGTAAAAAATGTGCTTTGATTAAGGTTGGTACAATGACTTCAATACCTTGGGCTATGCCTTTTGGTTTCTCCACATCTGTCTTTTAAACCCAGATCCTAGCAGGAAAGTGGCAGCCCACTGACATTTTCTGACAGTATTTAGCAATAAAAAAGCAGTTTCTTTGAAAATTCAAATTTGCCACTGCTTCAGAGGATTGTTCACATGATTGCCAAAAAAAGAGGGTCTGTCTTTTTGAAAGGCAACGGGTTTTCAATATCACTTGTGCATAACAAGCATTTCAAAAAGATATTCAAGAAAATCGATTGATGGAATTATACAGACACTTGTATTATTGGAGGTAAGAATAGAAAACAATGTCAAGTCCCCAAAGATGTGAAGTGGTAGGGAGGTATTTTTTTCCAAAGCCTTCTCCTGTCACATTTCAAGGTCCTCTGTGTTCATCTGAGGTTCTTTCAAGTTCCAGTTCAAGAGTCAATGATTGACTCCACTATCTTGCCTATTCTGTGCTATACAGTGAAACATAAAATAAGCCAGCAGCCACATCACTCTGCAACTCACAGCTGGCAACCGCCTGAAGCTCAGCAGGTGTGAGCCTGGTCAGTACCTGGATAGGAGACCTCCTGGGAAAAGGTCGCTGCTGGAAGAGGTGTTAGCGGGGCCAGCAGGGGGCCCTCACCCTGCGGTCCACGTGGGTCCTAATGCCCCAGTAAAGTGACGGGGACACTATACTGTAATTAGGCGCCGTCCTTCGGATGAGACGTAAAAACCGAGGTCCTGACTCTCTGTGGTCATTAAAAATGCCAGGGCATTTCTCGAAAAGTGTAGGGGTGTAACCCCAGTGTCCTGGCCAAATTTCCCTTTGGCCCTCACCAGTCATGGCCTTCTCATAATCCCCATCTATGAATTGGCTTTATTACTCTGCTCTCCTCCCCACTGATGGCTGCTGTCGCATCATCCAGGTGGATGCTACAGATTGGTGGTGGTGGAGGGGAGTCCCCATTACCTGTAAAGCGCTTTGAGTGGAGTGTCCAGAAAAGTGCTATATAAGTGTAAGCAATTATTATTATTATTATTATTATTATTATTATTAATAATAATAAAAGGATCCAACACTCCTACACTTACAACAACTGTAAGAGGACAGTAGGCTCAGGCAAGGTACCAGTTCTTATCTGAACTACATTTCCCAGAAAGCTTGGGGTGGAGGGGGGACCTGACCAGCTGAAGGAAGACAATTGGTCGGGACACTTCAAAAAACCAGGAAGTGGAGGCTATCTGGACACAGGGGTCAGAACTAATGCTGAATGTGGCAAAAGTGGGAGAAGGAGCCCAGAAAGTGAGGAAACAAAATAACAGATGGGACCATGGACAGTTAAATTGTAAGTTTTTTGGGAGGAGGAAAATTGTGACCTTTGAGAAGAGAAAAACGTTTTTGAATAAAAGAGTTTTTCAAAAAGTATTTTTGATTTTTTTTTAGCAGCTAGGCTTATCCTATGGCTCTGTGCGAATCTGCTTTGTTAAGATCTGCCGATTTTAAAATATGTGCTATAACACCCCTCAACATATCTAACTCACAGTACAGATTGCACACTTCAGACTGGACAGCATGGGGAAACAGCACCAGCTAGGGCAGAGATCTACAGTGGCCATTCGCTGGATGATCTCACAGTAACTAACACCCTCCTCCAGTCAATTTCCTTCTCAGGTTGCTCCTTGGACTGACATGGCACCCACAACCTTAAGATGAAATTTAAAAATGTACTCCCAGAATGTCAGACTCCCACTGGAGATTCATCCTTCAAGTTTTTGCCTGAACCTTTGTGCCACTCAGTGTGCTATTACTCCCAGTAGATCTAAGGTGCCAACCTGTATAATATGTCACACGCGTTGTGTTCTGTGAATCATCAATCACACCGTTACTTTAAAAGGCAGCCAAGGTGACAATTTAGTTGTCCTTCTCCCAGAGAAAAAAATATACCGAGCTGGAACAGACCTCCTGGACTGCTTTCATTTCCATAATGAGGCTCAACTCATTTAAGTCCAACAATGGCGGCTCTAAAGGAAATAATTATGTACCATCTCTAATCACAGCAGCGACACTTCAGCTCAGACGAAGGTTTGAAACCTGGAAGAAGAGTAGAGCGTGGCTCAGCAAAGGAAGCCAGCTTTTGCCACAGATCTAAACCAGGTCCCTTACAAATGCTTAAAACGGTAAAATTAGAGTAAAGTCATGGTAA